GGTTGCGCTTCCCTGGACAGAACTGGGGCACAATTTTGGCGTCCTCTGTGTGAAGGAATGGTTGGATGAAGGCCGCGCTCGAGGAGATAAGCATTCCCTTAGCCCTCAACAAGAGCGTGGGAAGTTTAAGAAGATGAGGCTGGCACCTCCCTAAGGAATTCATGGTGTTGTGGCTGGCTGGCTTGGGAACTTGGGTTCACTCTGGTGAGATTCTGTCTTGAGGTGGACGCTAATAAACGCAACAGAACTATATCTGCGCTGTCTCGGGGAGTTCTTTGGGCTGAACCTGACATCACCCACAACACCGTGAATTCCTTAGGGTGGTGCCGGTCTCATCTTGTTAAACTTCCCATGCTCCTGATGAGGGATAAGGGAATGCTTATCTCCTCGAGTGCAGCCTTCATCCAACCATTCCTTCACACTCTCGGACGTGCTGTACACAGGGCTGCTGTTGAAAACCACTTGGAAGGTGCAGCCAGTCCATAACTCAGCAGCGAGAGCAGTTATGGGTGTATCTTGGAGCACCAGAGTAAGACCCCTGTTGTGTGAGCTTCGCTGGTGCAATTCAGGGTGCTGGTCGTTACCTATAAAGCCGATCATGGCACAGGACTGGGTTACTTGTAAGACAGCCTGTCTCCCGTTGTTTCTGCCTATCCGGTAAAATCCAATAAGGCGAGCACGCATTGGCCCTATCATCTGATGGGGTCTAGGAGGTCCACTTTCTCTGTCACTGTGCCTGCACTCTGGAGTAGCGTCCCTCCAGAGGTTTGAGAAACCTTGACTGTACTGTCCTTTAAATGGACCTCACAGGTAGGCTTTCATTCCAGGCTTTGGGTGTGGAAATACATGCCTTCTGAAATTATATTGATGTGTTCAGTATGACTGGTCCTCTAGTTATTGGCATTTCTTACCCATTTTATTGTACCAGCCTTTGTTTTTAATTTGTATGCTACCAGCGTGAGCCAGGCTGTATGATTACATTGATAAATTAATTCAATTGAGCTTGGTTTCAGATTGTTCAGACCCTCTGCTGCTGTTGGGATCCCGGCTACTGGCGATTGATATTTTATTTTTTCTTTTCTTCTCGTGCATTGCAGTGTCAGGTGGAACTGAACCGGAAATCGCTGGCCGACCTAGCAATCTACGAACCGAAGACGTTCAAATCTTTAGCTGCTTTAGCCAAAAGGAGAGGAGAGGAAGGACTGCTCGCTGCCCAGGAAGGAAAGGAACCCGATGGAATATTTTCCCGTCTGTTGAAATATCCGTGAAGGGGATGCTCTGTGCTCAAATTGAAAAGGGACATTTTAAAAATAAAAATTTTGAAGATTTTTCTCTCTCTGCTTGCGCCAAACCAATGTCTTCTGAAGTCATCCAGTTTGGCCTGACGCTTGTTGAAATTCAACTTGGGGCATATAGCTGTGTATCTTCAATCTGCAATAAGTTGTTGGGTAGAATCTGGTTCGGGGACTTGTTTTACTTAATAAAAAATTGGAAAAAAAAAAAACAGTACAAAGAAAAAGGAAAAGTATACATCCATAAAATGAACTTTACAGTAGAGTGGAAGGTGACATGAAAATACAATGGTTTTAAAAAGATTTTGGTTATAGGGGTTTTTTTTTTTGAAAAAGGCAAAACGAAAGGCTAAAAAAAATTATAGCAGAACCATTCCAGCAACTCCCCCCCCCCCCCCGACTTATTTTTAATAGTTTGTGAAACCCTTTTAGGCCTCTAGTGGAGTTTGGCAAAAGTGATTAAACAGCTCCGCTAAATGCTCCCTTGCATTTTTTTTAAACCCAAGAGATAGTAATAAAACGCAATTTGCAAATTGGAAGCAGTACCTGTGTGCGGGAATGCAGCCCTTGGGCCCAATTTTAGAAACCCCAGATTGGCTTTAGCTTCTGGCATAACCTATTTTGATTCAGAACGATGCTTTGAACTGCCAGTTGTGGCTCAAGCCGAGCATGTCACGGGGAGGAAGATGGCACCTATAATTCAGCATTCTCTGAAGTAAAGGGGCTGCCTTCATTTGTATGTGGAATCAGGTTCAGAGGCTTCACTTACACAAAGAGGTTCACGTTAACCACGGTTAGCTTCTTGCCAGTTTAGGCTGTTGGGCAAACCTGGCCCACTTGGTGAGTTTCCACTTTGGAGAGTTGCACAAACCCCCAAAATAAGTGAATTCATCAACCAGGTTCAGTGTCCTGCACCAACGCAGTCAGTGCAGGACCGTATTAGGAAACCCACCCCAGATTATGAGTACAGCACATTTTAAAGCTTTATACACAAATAATAATGGGAAATGCTTCCATGCACAGTTCCCCTGAACGATTTTGTGCACAGTATTTCAATTTATTTCAGGGCAATGTGGGAGGGGAGGACTACGTTCCCTATCATTTCCAGCCAGCCCGGATCGGAGGGCTTAAAAGGACACTTTTTAAAACATCAAAGTGGATTGGGGGGATTTAAGCTATTATTTGCAGCAACCCAAGTGAGCGGAGAAGCTACTAATTCAGAAGTTTGCTGGCAGAATCCTTGCAATTGAGCACTACTAGTTGACTTGCTTCCCTTCTGCCATCACAGTAGAAGGGAGAAGGGGATGTGAACTGTTAGGCGCGGATTCTGGCTCCCAGGAATCGTCGTACCAACCTGAGGACGTGCACAGAAGAGATTCAAAGACAGAAGCGGGGGATGAAATGGGAGTGAAGTAAAATTAAGCTTTGGCGCACGCAGGACTCAGTTCCAGCTTTGCTTCTAGCTGTGCACAGAAGAGATTCAAAGACAGAAGCGGGGGATGAAATGGGAGTGAAGTAAAATTAAGCTTTGGCGCACGCAGGACTCAGTTCCAGCTTTGCTTCTAGCTGTGCACAGAAGAGATTCAAAGACAGAAGCGGGGGATGAAAGTAAAATTAAGCTTTGGCGCACGCAGGACTCAGTTCCAGCTTTGCTTCTAGAGCTGTGCATGTGAGACTAGGCTGAAGCTC